CCTGTCTCGAAAAATAAAACAAAAAAAGGGGGTGTGAGGGGGCTGTGTTGGCACATACCTTTAACACTAGAGCTCCAGAGGCAGAGGCACACAGACCTCAGTGAGTTTGAGGCCAGCCTGGTCTACAGAGCAAGTGACAGGACATCCAGAGCTGTTACACAGGGAAACTTTGATGGTTAATTTTTGCAGGAGTCCATTGTGGGTAGTATATCCCTCGGCCAGTTGGGCTGGGCTGTATAAAAGCAGCTAGCGGTGCAAGCCACAGCGAACCAGACAGTAAGCAGCAAATTGCTGTGTTTTTTTTTTTTTCTTCAGGCGTCTGCCTTGGTGTCACTCAGTGAAGAGCTCTAACCTGTAGGGTAAAATAAACTCTTGCTTTTCGAAGTCTCCTTTGGTCATGCTGTTTATCACAGAAACAGAAAGCCAAGTAGAAGAGAGGGTAGACTTTGGTCAGTGGTATTTGTTCTGAGACCTGAAAGATGAACCAATCTCCAGTTAGAGATCCACCAGCCATCAATAGGATATAGGTTTCCTTTATTCAGATACTCCAGCGAAGCATAAGCCAGAGCTAGCCCAGATGCAGCAAGGCATGGAGGCCAGAGAGAGCGGGTCCCCATGAATCTGGAGCCCTTTAAGAACCTATTCTGACCTCCCATGACCACGCCCTGAGAGGCTTGGTCAAGCGCAACTGTTGCCAGCCCTTAGGAGGCGTGGTTACGGTGTCTCCACATCTGAGTGAGGTCACTGACAACTCTTCTCCCCCACAAATGTACTCAATACCTTTCACACTATCAATAGGGATCTAAGATTTTCTTAGACACTATGCTGGTCCTAGAAGTCTGCACTTTTCTCACTGTTATCCTGTTCATGTGAAAATCACCAACTGATTTATAACATGGGTTTCATGGCTGACTGTAAAGATTAACACAACAGAGCTTTCTAATAGAATATTTGTAACTATTGAAAGTAAGTTTTTTTGACACTAACAGTTTGGGATAAGTTACTGTCTTACATCCATTAATGCTTTTCAATTTTTTTTTTTTTTGAAAATTGAGTAACAACTGGTACGGCGTGCTAAGTAAATTTACGAAGAGTGCATGCTCATATCTGTTCTGAGGTGCCCAGACTCCTTCCAATTTTCCATATTGTGTATAATGTTAGATGTAGGGTTGTGGCTTCTAATGTAGCTTGTACTGAAGGATTTCTTCCTATTCCCTGAATCCTAAAATCTTTCACAATGACCATAAATGAAAGTTTACCACATGCCCTTTGTCAATATATTAAATTCCTTCCGTCCTAAAATTTGCAGCCTTACATGCAAGGAAAAGTATATGGTAATTCACCCTTGGGATATCTACAAAGTCAGATTGGATTTCTCAATTGTGGTAGTTTACATTCTCTGCAAGAATTAGTATAAACCTACTTGTGCCGTTTTCTTAAACACATTTGTGACCATTTTGTTTGTTTGATTACTTTTTAGTTGGTTTTTTAGGGTGGAGGGCTTATTCCATCGACTTTTGCTCATCGGAAACTCACTAGGGAGACAAGATTGGTAGCATAAATTAAACATTTCTCTGCATTCTGAGTGTTGAGATTAAAGTGGCGCCAGCAGACCATGCTCCACTAGGTTTGGTGTTTGTTTGGTTTGATTTCTTTGGATTGATTTCCTGTGTGTGAGCGCTTGGGCAGCTTCTACGTCAGTGCAACAAGTGTGCCCAATGAAAGTCTTTACGAAAATGATCCAGCCGCTGGGGGGTTTCAGGGAACCTGAGTCTGCTCACAGAGGGCGGGGCCAGGGGGGACAGTGGCGGGAACCGCAGCCCGGCGGCCCTGGAAGCTCCCAGGTCAGAGGAGCTGCGGGGCTGGGACCCGGGAGGGAGGGAGGAGCGGGCTGTGCTCCCGAGCTGCTCACAAGGACCCCGTCAGCTCCCGCCGGCTGCCCGTGGGGTGGAGGAGGCGGCGGCTCAGCTCGTCCCCTGCGGCCAGGTGCGCTCGTTTCCACCCCACGAGCTGGGTGCTGCCCCGGGCGCCGGGCGCACCCCTTAAAAGTGTCCGTCTGTCCCGGTCTCTCTGGCTCCTGGTTTGCTCTCTGACCGCTCTCTGTCTGGGGTCTCCGTCTCTCCCGTCCCCATCCGAGACGGCCTTTGCTCTTTTGCTCGCCCTCCTCCCCAGGGACCTCTCCCCCTAGACCTGTTGCCCATGGCGAGTTCTCTTAGCGGCCAGGGGCGCAGCCAGAGCTGCCCAGTTTCCACCGCTTTATCCTCAGACACAGCTCTCAGTGTTGTGTTGTTGGCGTCTTTCCATTGATGGTGGGTTTCAGATGCCATGAAGGGGGCATTACTGTCGTTTTGCTTTATTTTAGTCTTCACTTACCTTAAGGTTGGCAGACCCTAAGGTTGTCATAAAATAACTCTTATAGTAATTTAGTAGAGCATTTGCTTTGTCTGTTGTGTGCAAACAGGCTATCTATGCCATGGTGGTAATTCTAGAGCTCTCTTCCGTCACTCTATGTGCATCCTTCTATTTTCTCCTGGCGGTAGAAATGTTCACAAAATTTCTGGTGTGCTTTGGCTTTGAGGGGTCTTTTCATATGGTGTGGCATTGACCATAATAGAGGGTTTTTTTTTTTTTCCAGATTTTTCTTTTTGACAATAGGATGTGAAATATCCACAAGAATTCCAGTAGTTTTCTCTGAGAAACTTAGAGAAGAGCAACAAGAACAATGGATGCTTCTGTTGCAAATGCTCTTCAGGTCAGTATCGTGTTCACATATCTCTGAAAATTGTTTTTATTATTGAAAACATTTAAACTTTTAGTTGGCAATGTTATTCAAATTGTTTATTTTTGCCTTATTTGTCTGTTTTGTTTTTTGGGTTTTTTTGTTTCTTTTTTTGAGACAGGGTTTCTCTCTGGCTTTGTAGGATGCCTGGAGCTGGCTCATTTAGCCCTGTTGGTCTCAAACTCACAGAGTACTGCTGACCTGTGCCTCCCGAGTGCTCACATTAAAGCTTTACACCACCACTGACTGGCTAGTTTTTTCTTTCTTTTATTATATTTAAAGTTATGCCTTAAATCTTTCAACTATGTATCTGAGACTTGACCCATTGTATTTTCTCTTGGTTTTATACTATGAGGCGATGACTTTCCATGGGCGTTAGACTTGAAGACTAAAACACAACCTATTGTAAATGAAACTCAAGAAATATGTTGATGGCCATTTTCTACATAAAATGGACTTGTGTTTCTTTTTAATAGTGAGGAAGTATGGTCTCATGTGCCACACAGTTATATTTCTCCAAAGTTCAGTTTTCCAGAAACAGGCTTATGAACATGGACAGATCAGTACATGGACCTTCTCACTGACATCACTGATAAATTTATGGAAATGTAGAATTAGAAATGACTCACTGTCTTGAACCCTAATGGTAAAGATTTTAGCACCCAGAGAGCACAGATGTTGGAAGCCATATGTGGCTTCTTTTCTAGAAAGTTGCTGTGTCTGTGAGGAGATGAAGTTTGCAGTATTCTGGCTTCTCTTTTTGCCTCATTATGTCACACAGTGACGTGGGGTGTATCCACACTATAAATATATGAGTCCCTTCTGAAATTCTGTTCAATTTTCAGTGGGTACATCTCTTAGGAATTTCTGATTTTTTCTTTACCTTTGTTTCATATTCAGAAGGAGCATAAACACAGATGTATCCACATTTATTTGGCATTCTGGGGAATATATTTGTAAGAATTTTCTAGAGAGTACTGACATGGTGCTACACATAAGCCATCAATGTTCAAGCATAAATGAATGTCCCTTTTAATTACTTTGCTCTTTTCTTTTGAGGAAGAAGGCCCCATCTTGCCTATGTTTTTCCTCTCGCTGAAGGTTTGTATTACATAGGGAGAAATTCTGAAGATTTATGCCAATTTTCTATTTCTTTTTTTCAGTAACATTTCATTTATGTATACGAGGGTTTATCTGCATGTTGTTATGTACGCTGAAGGATTCTTTATGCCCCTGGATTCCTGTGGTCAGCACCAGACACTTGGAACTAAAGTCAAACATTGTAGTTATTGCCATGTGTTTAGAGAGAATTATAGTTGGTTTCTCTGGAGGAACAACAAGTGACTTTTAAGTCTCAGCCATGTCTTCAGAAAGGTGCAAAATTGTGACATTATAAAACACTGTGTATTCTAGTTTTCAGAAAAGTAAAGGAGTAATCATAAAGAATACCTAGCTATGCTACATTCTTGTCAGATGAATTTGCTAAGATACTGAAGAGACAAATAAGTTTTAAATTAAGAGGTTTAAATTTTCCTTTCAGTGAGTCACATGAGAAATAATACACTTCATGGTTGTAACTATTCCTCATGTTATAGCTTCACAAAGTATTTGATTTCGAGCAAATGTGTTGTTTGGAGCAGTGGATATATGCAATGGTTTTGTACTCCTTAGTCTCAAAACAAAACAAAAAAAACTGAATTTAATTCATCCATGGATTTTCATTCCATATCCATTAAATTAAATTTTATTTTATGTATTCCCATATGTGTGCTAGAAAGTATGTGTACTCTGTAGGACTCTTGCCTATAAAGTGCAGCATTGAATCTCAAGCATATGAAATTAAATCCTGTTTTTTACTGCTATGATTGTACGGGGAATCAAACTACATTTTAAAGGATTTGAAGACATTATAGACTGCAAACTAGAGACAAGTTTTTCAAATTTAGTGTTTGTGGCAAATATTTTATGCTACTCAAGTCTTAGAAAATATCAAAATTTTCATGGAGGAGAGACTCAATGGATGTAAGCAATGTACTGTATCTTCCTATGAATTGACTTTAAAAGAGTAGCAGTGCGGGACTCTTTCAAAACTCCTGTCCTCTCAAAATTGTCATGCTTCATCTATGTCACAAATATCTCTCTAATTCATTATGTCTCCTTTGCTCAAGAAATCATTTTGTGCAGCAGTGCATGGTAATTAGGTAATTTTCCATTGCAGGGTCTGTTATCATTCAGGGATGTGTCTGTGGACCTCTCACAGGAGGAATGGGAATGTCTAGACTGTGCTCAGAGGGCTTTGTACATGGATGTGATGCTGGAGAATTACGGCAATCTACTTTTTGTGGGTAAGAGGGCTCTTCTCATAATTTCTTATTCAATCTTTTTTTTTAAATTTTCCTACTTTGTGTATCAATAAACTCTGAGAGTAGAAAATACCAGAAATGTGGGAAATATTAGTTACGAAAACATAACTTTTTAATGTTGCTTCATTTACTTTTTTGTGTTCTCTAGAAGAGTAAAGAATGCTTTATTCTCTGTAGCCCTCCTTTCTAATATACAAAGAACATTTCAAAGTTCAAACAATAAATAGTTGTTAGATCATGAAAATATATTGTAGTACTTATTATAATTAGAAGGATTTGTTACTGGATTTAAGTCTTCCCCTATTTTATAAAAATTGCAAAAGGTTTTAGAAGAATGGTTGTTGGTTATACCAATGTGGTTTTGCTTGGTAATTTAATTTGAGCTTTGATGGCTATATTTAATACTGGCAGAGCATGATGTTAATATTTCTACTTTGGAGCTTGGAGTGTACATGTTATCTCCATGCAAATCTGGGTTATGAATTCCAAGTTGTGTGACTCTATCTCAAAAACATAAGATATAGGGAATCATTCTTCACATCATCCTTCACACAGCTTCTTTCTCAAGTTGTTTCCTTCCCAAATACCAAGCATCTGACCAACTGCAAAGGACAGTGTTTACATGAGAATCAGAAGGCTACACACTGGAGTGAACTAGGTCCTCTACATATGTGTGACAGTTGTTCACTTTGGTCTACTTGTGGGACTCCTAGTAGTGGCAGGAAATCCTTTCCCTAATGCTTTGGCTTGCTATTGGGCATCTATTCCTCAGAGTTGGTTGCTTCACAAAGCCTTAATACAAAGGGAGGAACTTAGATACACCTCAACTCAATATGCCATGCTTTGTTGACAGCCATGTGAGGCCTGCCTCTTTTAGAACACACACACAGGAGGGTTTGATGGGGGCACATTGGGAAGTTAGGGAGTGTGAACAGGAAGAGAGTAAGGAAGAGAAACTGTAGAAGGTTGTGAAATCAATTGAAAGAAAAATGAGTAGGCTGTTATTGGTCCCCGTGATTTGTTGTAGATCAGATTGGAGATTCTTTTTTTAATGATTTTTTTTAGTATTACTTTTTATTATTTATATTAGAAACAAGATTCTTTTACATGTAAATCCTAGTTCATCTATGTCTTATATCTGTATATGAGTGAGTATATACCATGGTCCTGTTGTGACTGGATTCCCTTGCTCAGGATAGTTTCCTCTACTTCCTCAATTTCCCTGTGAATCCAATGTTCCTGTGTGTGTGTGTGTGTGTGTGTGTGTGTGTGTGTGTGTGTGTGTGGGTGTGTGCTCCATTGTGTAAATGTAGCACATTTTCTCTATCCATTCTTCAGCTGAGGGGCATCGATGTTGCTTCCAGTTCTGGCTATTACATAAGGCTGCCATGAACTTAGTTGAACAGATGTCCTTGTTGTATGAATGTGCATCTTTTGGGTATATGCCTAAGAGTGGAATTGCTGGATCTTGTGGTAGACTAATTCCCATTTTCCTGAGGAACCACCATACTGACTGACAAAGTGGCTCTACAAGTTGGCACTCCTGCCAGCAGTGGAGAAGTGTTCCCCTTTCTCCACATCCTCTCCAGCATAAACTATCATTGGTGTTATTGATTTTAGCCATTCTGACAGGAGTAAGAAGGTATCTCAGAGTTGTTTTTATTTGCATTTCACTGATGGCTAAGGATATTGAGCACTTTCTTAATTGTCTATCACCCATTTTAGCCCCCTATATTGAGTATTCCCTATTTTGTTCGGTATCCCATTTTTAATTGTATTATTTGTTGTTTTCAAGTCTAGCTTCTAGAGCTCTTTGTAAATTTTGGAGATCAGGCCTTTGTCCTATGTGGGGTTGGTGAATATCTTTTCCCATTCTGTGGGATGCCGTTTTGTCTTGGTGACTCTGTCCTGTGACTTACAGAAGCTTCTCACTTGCAAGAGGACCCATTCATTAATTGTCAATCCGAGTGGTTGGTGTAATGTTCAGGAACAGGTGTCCTGTACCAATTCTTTCAAAGATACTTCCCACTTTCTCTTCCCAGAGGTTCAGTGTGGCTGGCTTTATGTTGAGGTCTTTGAACCATTTGGACTTAAATCTTGTAATGGTGATAGATCTGCAACTATGTCCAGTCTTTTATATGCCAGCACCATTGGTCTTCCTGTCTACTTTTGTGCCAATACCAATCTTTTTTCAGGACTACAGCTCTATAATAGAGCTTGAAGTCTGGGATGGTGATGTCTCCAGAAGTTTCTCTATTATACAGGGTTGTTTTGGCTATCCTAGGTGTTCTGTTTTTCCGTATAAGGGTGATTATCGTTCTCTCAAAGTCTGTGAAGAATTGTGTTGGGATTTTGATGGGGATTCAATTGAACATGAAGACCGGTTTTTTCAAGATTGCCATTTTTACTATGTTGATCCTACCTATCCCAAGAGCATGGGAGATCTTTCCATTTTCTGGTATCTCCTTTAAATTTTTTCTTTACAGACTCAAAGTTCTTGTTTTCTAGGTCTTTCACTTGTTTGGTTAACTTTGTCCCAAGATATTTTATGTTGTTTGTGACTAATGTAAATGGTGATATTTCTCTCATATCATTCTCAGCCCATTTATAGTATATATATATGACTACTGACTTTTTTGAATTAATCTTGTATCCTACCACTTTGTTGGAAGCATTTATCTGATATAGTATTTTCCTGGTAGAGTTTTTTGGGTCACTTATGTAAACTATCATATCATCTGCAAATAGTGACAGTTTGACTTCCTCCCATCCAATATGTATCTTCTTGATATACTTTTCTTGTATTACTGCTCTAGCTAGAAATTCAGGTACAATATTGAAGAATTATTGAAGAGTGGACAGCCTTGTCTTTTTCCTAATTTCAGAGGAATGGCCTTGAGTCTCTCTCCATTTGGTGTTGGCTGTTAGTTTTCTCTATATTGCTTTTATTATGTTCAGGCATGTTCCTGTTATCCCTGATCTCTCCAGGACCTTTATCATGAAGTGGTGTTGGATTTTGCCAAAGGCTTTTTCAGCATCTAGTGAGATGAATATGTGGTTTATCTTTTTCAGTTTGTTTGTATGGTACATTACATTGATGGATTTTCATATGTTGAACCATCCCTGTATCCCTGGGATGAAGCCTACTTGATCATGGTGGATGATTCTCTGGTATGTTCTTAGATTCAAGTTGCCAGTATTGTATTAACTACTTTTGCATCAATGTTCATGAGGAATATTGATATTTAGTTCTATTTCTTAGTTGTGTCTTTGTGTTGCTTGGGTACCAAGGTAATTGTAGCCTTCCAAACAGAGATTGGCAATGAACCTTCTTCTTCCATTGTGTGGAACAATTTGAGGAGTATTGGTATTAGTTCTTTGGTTTTTCTGGTAGAGTTCTGTATAGAAGCCATCTGGCCCTGGGCTCTTTTTTTTTTTTTTTTTGGTTGGAAGACTTTTGATGACTGCTTATATTTCATTAGGGGTTATAGGTCAGTTTATATTGCTTATCTATTCTTGATTTAATTTTGGTAAGTGATATGTATGCAGATAATTGTCCATTTCCACAAATTTTTGAATTTTATGGAGAACAAGTTTTCAAAGTATGACCTGGAGATTCTCTAAATTTCCTCAGTGGTGGTGGTTGTATTCCCTCTTCATTTCTGATTATGTTAATTTCCATGTTCTCGCTGTGCTTTTTGGTTACTTTTGGTAAAGTTCTGTGTATCTTATTGATTTTCTGGAAGAACCAATGCTTTGTTACATTGTTTATTTGTATTGTTTCCTTTGTTTCTTCTTAAAGGATTTCAGCCCTCAATTTGATTATTTCCTGCTGTCTACTCCTAAGGGTTAAGTTTGCTTTTTTGTTGTTCTAGAGTTTTCAGTTGTGCTACTAATCTTCTAGTGTGACTATTCTTCAGTTTCTTCATGTGGGCACTTAGTGCTAAGAACTTTCCTCTTAGTACAGCTTTTGAAGTATCCCATAAGTTTGGGTATGTTGTGTCTTCATTTTCATTGAATTCTAGGAAGTCTTGAATGTCTTTTTTTTCTCTTCCATGACTCCAGAATTGTGCAATTGTGGGTTGTTCAATTTCCATGAGTTTGTAGGGTTTCTGCTATTTATGTTGTTGTTGAATTCTAACTTTAAAACATGGTGGCTGATAAGATACAGGGGATTATTCCAATTTTTTGTACCTGTTGAGATTTGTTATGTTGCCAAGTATGTGGTCAGTTTTAGAGAGTGTTCCATGTGGTACTGAGAAGTAGAAATTTACTTTTTGGTTTGGATGGAATGTTCTATAGATGTCTGTTAAACTCAATTGTGCAATAACTTCTGTTACTTCCTTTGTTTCTTTGTTAAGTTTCTGTATAGTGGTATTGTCTAGTGGTTAGAATGGAGTGTTGAAGTCTTCTCCTATAACTGTGTGCAGTCTTTTGTGTAATTTGAGTGTTAGAAATATGCCCTTGTTTTCGGGGCATAGGTATTCATAATTGAGATTTCTTACTGATTGATTTTTTTTCCTAAGGTAAATTTGAAATGACCTCCTCCATCTGTTTTGAGAGATTTTAGTTTGATGTCTAATTTGTTAGATATTAAGATTGCTACACCAGCTTATTTCTTGGGTCTAGTTGATTGGAAAATTTTATATTAACCCTTTATTCTGAGGTAATATATGTCTTTGTATATGAGATATGTTTCTTTTATACAGGAGGAGGATGGACTCTGTGTTCATATTCATTCTATTAGCCTGTGTCATTTTTTTTTTTTTTTGAAGTTTGGGATATCTTTGTACAGTTTTTTTTTTTTTTGTAATTTTTTATTAGTTCAAATTAGAAACAAGCCT